TAAGTAAATTCTATACCAAATTTTTTACAGTAACTTACAATGCAAAATACCTCTTTCTTAACTAAACACTTATAAAATATTAGTTATATGATTATAAATACTGTATTATGAAATTTGGTTTGTCAGTCCAAATGATTGGCTGTGTGTATCATGCAGTAGCATATTTCAGCCAATCATTTATTCTGACAGAGCAAATTTTATAATATTTATTATTGCATGATCTAATATTGATGTTATCATGTAATTATGATTATGCTTTAAAAGTCATTATTAGCTAACTGACTTTTAATTCGAGATTGTTTTGCTTATGTAATTAGCATACAAAAATAACAAGTCTATAATTATAAGAATTTGAGCATATTACTTGGATATCAAATAAGTTCTAAACCAGATTTTTTACAATAACAATTCAAGCGAATTTAACCTTAACCATATATTGTGCATCACCAAATAGCAAGTAAGTTCTGTAACAGAATTTTTTACAGTAACTTACAATGCAAAATAAGTCAATGTTATTTACAAACTGTGCATTACCAGATAGTGAGTAAGTTCCGTAACAAAATTTTCACAATAACTCTAGATAGAAATCACAATAATTTGAACATATTTTGTCACCAAAATAGCAGGTGAGTTCTGTATTTTTTAATTAATTTTATAATGCAAACTAATTCAACCTTGACTATATACTTTTTGTTACTAGAATAGTGAGTATGTTTTGTATCAGAATTTTTTACAGTAGCTTATATTATAAACTAGCTCAGCTTTAACCTAATACTATATATTACTAGAACAGTGAGTAAGAATTTTTATAGTAACTTTTAGTAGAAACCACAATAATTTACATAAAACTATCTTAACTTTAACTGCATATTGTATCACCAAAATAGCAAGTTCAATAACACTTTAATCATATTTTGTGCCATTGAAGTAGTTAGTTCTGTAACATAAATTTTATACTAACTTATAAAAAAAAAACTATAATTTTAATGCAAACTAACTCAATCTTATCACATATTGTGTATCACTAAAATGGCAAGATTTGTGACAGAATTTTTAAAGTGCTTATTATAAAAATCATATTATTTCAGTGCAAATTAACTTAATATTAATTATACACCATGTGTCAACAAAATAGCAAGCGAGTTCTGTAATAAAATTTTTTATAGTAGCTTATAGTAAAATTAACCCAAATAAGGTGGAGTCGGGTATTATGGTATGGTGTATAATTGGTATACTTATATTTTTTTACAATTTCTAGATATTCACTGATCAGAATTGAATAATTTTAGTATTATTTTGTTCATTTTACTGAGACAAATCAAATGATTCAAAAATTAATCAATTCTGTTTAAAAATTAATGGAATATTAGACTTCATGTTGCAGTCAATATGCTTTTTTCTTTTTTCTATTTAAGTAATTTTGAGAAAAATATCAGCAAAATAACAATACAATATTAAATATCAATATTCATTTTATACCATAATACCACAACCTCACAAAGCATTATATATTTTTTGATGATTTTAAAAGTTTAGAATATCAAGTTTTTTTTTTTAAAAGTCTAGATTTTTTTCCCTAGATAGTAGGTTGAATGTTATGTTGTTATTTTGCAAAATATTGTGAATAAATATGCTTTTTACAAAAATTTTTACTATTAGCACTTCTTAAGTGTACCACAATACCTGACTCTACTTTACTATATGTCAACAGAATAAATAAGTTATATAGCAATATTTTTTTGTAGAAATTGCAATAATTTCAATGCAAACTAGTTATACACTGTGTGTAACTAGATCTTAAATTAGTTCTGTAACAGAATTTCTTATAGTAGCCCAACCACATAAGCCCCGTACTTAACAGAATTTTTTATAGTAATAGAAATTATGATTATTTCGATATGAACCCAATTCTGTGTGTTAACAGAATAACAAGTTCTATAACGGTATTTTTTGCAGTAGCATATGATAGAGTTTGTACTAATTCCAATACAAATTAACACAATCTTAACTATACAATGTTTGTCATCAGGATAGTAGTAAGTTTTGTAATAATTTATTTATTATATTAATGCATGATAGAGACATGATTTTTTACAGATAATTTCAACTTATACTATATGTCACAACAATAAGTAGGTGGCGTGGCGCTTCGCGCCACCTGTTACGCTAGTGATGGTACAATTTGTCTCTCATCGGGGGTTACAAATAAAAAAACCAACGAAGAAAATCAATTATGGGTTATCTGTCCCTTCCGCATTCGTGCTATAGCTACAACAGTGCAGAATTCGAAAAGTATCGAAAAGCGATTTATGCTACTATTGCTAACATTGCAAAGACATAACTAAAAAACGATTCTTGGAGGGCAGGGCGAAAAAAACCAGAATTTCTGGAAAAAGCTCTGCCGCTACCAAGTAAACAAACTGGTGCCGATTACCTCAAAGTAAGGCACACAAAAAACCTTGATGACTGCCGTCTCGACAGGTCATTGACTATAAAACTCATTTCTGGCTGTCGTCTCGACAGGCCCAAATCTTACCCAAAACAAAAAAACCTCTGACTATTGTCTTGCCGGTCACTATTATTGCTTCCATAATCCCATTAGGGTTGGGTAGGGCGGGACGAAAAAACCAGACAAAGTCAGGTTAGCAGAAAAAACAGAAATTACCTTTCGTGGGAAAAAACCCGTTCCCTTAAAAACTACTGAAGGCAAAAACTACGTCATTACGACATAACAATCACATACGCAATCGTACAACAATCAAACAATGCATCAAAATCACACGATAAATCAAACAATGCATCACTCAACAGTTACCAAAACCCCGTGACCGATTCGAGACAAAATGCTGCTCCGATACTATCGTATCGGCAGCTAAATTATGGAAGGTAAGTGACAACTTAAAGAATTAGACAAATACGGAAGTGAGAAGACCCAGGGAAAATTAATCGTTACAGTAGGATTATAATTATTGATGGGAAAATGCGCATGAATGCGCATTAATGCGCACGTTATATAAAATGCACATGATATCGCATGAAATAATTTTTGGGATTTGTATTTTCCCTTCAAAAAATATCGGATATATGATCAAAATTTTACTATATTCCTTAATTCCGCCTGACAATACGCTCCTTGGCTTAAATTATATATACTTTAATTTTCCTATATAAAATTTAGATGTGATAAAATGCGCATGATTCCGAAACATACGCATATTTAGGAATCATGCGCACGCATGAAACCCATCTCTAATTATAATTAATTATCATGCTCATTTATATAGTAAAGCTATCATACCGATAATACTTGTGCGTAGTAAACTATTTTACCGATTATACTTGTGCGTATTAAAACTATTATACCGATCATACTTATGTGTATATAGCGATAAATACGTAATTTAATATTATACATTTATTATTTGAAATTAAAATGTTCGGAATAAAGGAATAGCCTTATACATATATATGATGACGAAAGATTGATAATTCAAATGATACGGTATTAAATAAAATGTTTATAACGATAATTTTGGGATTCTCGTTTACTTACAATTTTTCGAACGGGTAAAATATGCTGTTTAAATATACATTTGAGATTTTTGAGATTTTTATTGAATATGATAAAGACAATATTATAATTTTTAGAAAATAACATAGAACTATTCAAGTTACTGATGGATCTACTAAGATGATCTTGAACGTCTTAAACGTTTAGAAAGTCTTGAAAGTTATGAAACTGTGATGTAAATAACCGCTTATAACATTTTAAATAGAGCTTGACTTCATATGAAGAATCTGATGATATTGAATATGGTTCAACAATTTCATATTAAGTAAATAATGAAAATACTGTGACTTATTTTAGAAAAGAATTAACGCCTCATGTCGTTAATCACACATAACGCCATTAATAAAACCAATGCAAAGATTGGAATATGAAGTAGTCTAAAATAATAAAAATATATTTGCATATTTATTTGCAAAAAATCGATATTTGCGAAAACAATTTACCAATAATATATTTATACAGGTTTGTATATCCGACAAGTGAGTATGTCCAACGCATATTCTAGTATACATTTATATACGTAATTTTTATACTCCATACTACTTTAGGTAATACCGGGTGACCGGAGTATAATACAATACGGTACAGCATATTCATTTTTAACCCCTTTAAACACTCAAGCGCCTAGCTGTTGATTAACATTTTTAATATTTCGAATATGGATTTGCGCAACTACCGAATATTTCTGTTTCGGCGAATTACGTAAAGCGTTTAATTTTCAATGAGAAACTGGAATTATTAATTGGTTCACATGTTCTTACATTAGTGATTTGAACCGAGAAAAATTTTCTTAATCGGTTAACCGAGCCGAATTATTTCATTCAACCGATTACCAACCGGTTAAGATTAATATCTATACTACCTTCGGAAATTCTCGGAGCTTTACGTCTTGATTTTTATGTTCATTTATCTTCTGTCAGAACTTTTCAGATTCTTTACTCTCCCTACGTCATTTTAACATTTCTTATACCATATTGATCCCGCCAACCGGTTGTACGGGTCAACCGATTAAGAATTTTCTCAACCGGTTACCTTCAGTTCGGGTCGGTTAACCGATTATAGCTCAACCGATTCAGGTCACTATCTTACATAACGATAAGATTACAGATTATGTAAGATGATCTTTTATTGTTTTGACGCTTACTTACGTCGTACGTGCATATGCACGTGCCTGCATGAAATGTGGTACAGTACTTGCAAAGTTTATTAAAAAGATTAAATATAAAAGTTTTTAATTGAAACATAACCACACATTGAAAAATATTTCAAATAATTAAACATGTATGCGATTTTTTTTGCTAAAACAATTTTCAAGTTTCAATGTATTAATCTTTAATAATTTTTTTAAATGGCTTGTTGACTCTCAATTCTCTTTTATAGCTTTTTCGTCGTTCAATATACTAAATACCACTACCCTCTACAAGTAACGATGGATACCAAAAGTGAAGAAGCAAACATGATAGAAAAGGTCTATAATTTTGACTGGTCATTGACTTCACTTGGCCCTATGGACTTATGGGAACCTGCTATCAAAACAGCTATGGTACTTTAATACATTTAATTATATAAAGAAATAGAGTTCGTTATATAGAGATTCTTGCATATAAATATTTTATGTTTATTTATAAAAATATAATAAATAAAATCATGTTTATTAATGTAGTCTCTGTGTCTCAATTCTACGTTTCCCATCAACCTCTGGCTCGGTCCCCCAGAATGGATCTTTCTATATAATGATGGTAAGCTATTTCAGAATTTAGTTTTTCTATGAAAAATTTACTTCTTTTGTCTATTTAGTTATTCAATTTGCTTTAATATCTAATTATTTGCTTATAGCGTATTCAGAAGTTTTACTAGATTATCATCCATACGGTTAATACGAATTAGTCTTATATATTTATAATCAACTTTACCAAAATAACACCCTTGTAAAATTAATAGCATTAGGAAAACCAATGAGAGATGTTTTTCACGAAATAATATCTGATACCCTTTTAACACATTTAGAAGAGTGAGTTGAGTAATCACTTAAATAAATTTTTATTCGTGGTGCTAAACTTCTCGCAATATATTTAGTGTAAGAACGACTGGAAAAGGAAAGTTTAAAAAAGATCAATATTTTGAAAGACAGCGTGCTGGATATACTGAAGAATGTTATTATACCTCTTCATACAGTCCAATTTTCCAATCAGATGGTACAGTCTGTGGTATATTAAATTTTTCACAACAGACTACTCAAAAAGTTTTAAATACTAGAAGATTAAAGATACTGAACGAATTTGGAAAGCGGTTTCCTGGTTGGTATTCATAATTATGCTGTTTAATTATTAGCAGTTAGGTTAGATATTTTCTGTTAACACATTTATATCATCATATTATTTATTGAAGAAATTGAATCTTTAGAAAGTGCCTGTCGTATTATGACAGATGTATTAAGCAATAGTATAGATACTTCTTATGCATTAATTTATTTCGTCGATCACAAATTAAATACTGGTTTTGAATCGTTAACCGCACGTCTAATCTCCACGACCTTCGATAAAGATGGTAAAGATGGAAGGCATATTCCTGATTATTTACCAGAAACACCTGAGATAATTTATTTAGCCGAAGATGCTAATAAGAACTACGACACATACATAGAAATAAAACGGGATACTGTAACATTTTCATACTTAAAATGTGATTCTTGGCCAATACACTTGGTAATTAAAGAAGAAAGGCATATAAAAGTTCTTTTAAAAGATGAATCTCGAGCTGTATTATTACCGACAAAAATTTCACTTCGTGAAGAGCAATCTTTATCTGCTGTGTTAATTTGTGGCGTTAATCGACTTAGCACAATCAATGAGAAATATATGGATTTTTTGCAAGTATGAAAAGTTTGCTCAATTAATGTTCATTTATTTATTTATAATACTCAAACGCGCAAAATTTTTTAGCTAGTCATAAATCAAATGAATACATATTTATTACATGGAAAATCAATAGAAGAGGAAAAGAAACGGACTAAAATATTGGCTGATTTAAATTATCAAAAAATGATATTTTTTCAAGGCATTAGTAATGAACTAAAAAGTATTAATTATTATTATTTGTCCTTTGAAAATTTATTGCATACAGTAAATAGACTTATCATTATCATTAATCAAATTATTATTATTATTATTATTATAGCACCATTAACCTTAATGCTCTCACCTCTTGACGACGTAATTAATGCTTGTCTACAAGAAGTTCCAATAATGTATCTTCAAACTATACGACGTAACGCTCGTCGATTACTCAAACTTATTAACGTTTTATTACAAGTAAGTTATATCATTCTTTAACTATTAATATCAACAATTACTAAATCTAATTTTTGGACATATTATATTTCCTTCATTTCTTGCAAAGTTTTCGAATATTGAAACAAATCAATTAGAAGCCCGCTATCGTGAAACAAACATAGCTGAATTTACTCGAGAATTAGCTTCAGATTTCAAAAATATGGCTGAAACATTGGGCTTGAATTATAATATCAATATTCCACATAAAGATGAATTAACCCAAGCAGGAGATAAAGTTTATTTGGATCATGATATGTATGAAACAATTGTTTTTAATCTTTGTAAGCGTTTTATACTTTTTCTACAAAACCACATTATTAAAACATGCATACTAAGGAATTTTACTTGTTAAAGGTTCGAACGCATTAAAGCATACTTGGAATGGATCCATAACAATTCGTCTATATTCTGACTATAAAGATAATAAAAAAATGGTAGTTCTTGAAGTTTCAGATACAGGTCAATAATTTTTTGTTAAATTAAATACGAATCTCAAAACTGGATTACTAACAAAATATCCGGATTGTCTTTTTTTTTAAAACTAGGTATTGGTATTCCGGAGACCGCCCTTCCATATATATTCCAGCGTTTTTATCGTGTAGAATCTCAAGGTTCACGTAGCCACGAAGGTACTGGAATAGGCCTGGCTCTCGTAAAAGAGTTTATTACGCGCCATAATGGAGATATCACTGTAACTTCGATAGTAAATCAAGGAACGACGTTTAAATGTTGGTTTCCGATTGGATGTAAACACTTATCAACAAATCAAATACATTTCAACAACGTTGAAACCCAAATAAACCATGGCCGTGAATTATACAATAATCGACAACTTTACTTAGAAGAAAGTTCTCAATGGATAAAAAATAGTACATCAAAAGCCCATTATGATATAATGGATCAAGGGTTAACCAATGATCAAAATATGAGCAATAAAACAATGTTAACTGCAGATAATAGTAAAGAATATCAAATTTTAATTGTTGATGATAATAATAATATGCGGTAATATTTTATTTGCTAATCATATTAGAATTTTGTAAATTTGTTTCTTATTATTAGCAACGTTTTATAGAAATTATTTAGTGGATCTGTTAAAAGAATTTGGTGTATACTGCGCTTGCGACGGCCAAGATGCTATTCAAGTCTTAAAGGGGCTCAAAAAACCACCTGATTTAATACTTAGTGGCAAGTAAATTATAATCGTAGCATCTCTATTTACTATATATAACCGAATTTTAATTCATAATGTATTACTTGAAATTAATAGATGTCATGATGCCAAATATGACTGGATATGAGTTATTAGATGTGTTAAAATCTGATATAAAAACTCAACTGATTCCTGTAATATTATTATCTGCACAAACTGAAGATTCTAAAATTCAAGGTAATTAACTATGAAATTATTAGTAAGTTAAGTGCATTTTATTTTATTCATCCTTTTTTTTTTTTTGCATGTATCTCTAGGTTTGAAAAAAGGAGCAGATGATTATTTATTTAAACCATTTTCATCTCGGGAACTAATTACCCGTATTCGCACTAATATTAAGCTCTCACATTTTCGGCATAAAATATTGTTTCAACAATATAAACAAGAAGAGACAAAACAATTATTGCTTTCAAGATCCTTTCCAAATTTAATCTAGATGAAACGCTAAATTATGTTGTTAAAGAAATTTATTATAGATTATCATGTGAAAGAGCAGCTATTATTTCAAATGAACGAACTGAATCCAAAATTAATAAAATAGTTGCATTATATGAAGGCTCTGAAAGTATAAAGCCGATAACCAATCCATTCTTGGAATTTCATAACATTGGAAATGATTCACAAGCATTTATCAAATTGCAAGAAGATTTAAATTATAATTCGGGAACAGATATTTATTTGGATACATATTGTGATTATGTTAATAAAAATGTATCTGAATTATCTGTAGAATTAAGATTAAAAGATAATTATTGGGGATGGATAAAAGTTCATAGATCTCCAAATTCTATTTGGCTCGATTCTGAAGTAGAGTTATTACAACAAATATCCAATCAAATAAGCTTAGCTATTAATTATTCCAAATTATCCGAGGAATATGTGGAGAATGAAATTCAATTAAAAGCTGCTAAAGTTGCAAGTTATACAAAGAGTCAAATTTTAGCAAATACATCTCATGGTATATTGTTGTTTAGTATGCTGCTAAAATTTTTATTTTGATAATTCTAATTAATCTTGTTCTTATTGTAGAACTACGAACACCATTAGGTGCAATCGTGGGTATTCTTTCCTCCTTTGAGTGTTCTACTTTAACAGCTGATCAAGTGGATATGACTAATATCGTGTCAAGTGCTTCTGATATCATGCTATCCATAATAAACGATATTCTTTATGTAGCAAAGTTAGATGCACAAAAAATCACTCTAATAAATAGAACATTTGATTTGTTAGAATTATTTGAGAACATAATTGAGGAATTCGGAAAAAAAGCTGGTGATAAAAATATTGAAATAATCATAAATTACGAGACAGATCTATTACCAAGATATGTTAAGAGCGATCCTGAAAGGTAGTTAAATATTTTACGCTGTATTAAGCGCAAAAAGTATAAGAGTGCATTACTTACTACTTTATCTTTTATTAAATAGACTAAGACAAGTCTTATATCATTTATTATCAAATGCGTAATTATTTTTATATATTTTTAATTTTTTTATTTTCATTATATATTTATTATAATTATTAATTGTTAATGCAGAATTAAATTTACCGATAAAGGTGAAATCATGATGACTGTTTCAATGCAATCACAAAAAGTTAACGAGAATCCAATTTATAGTCAAATTGTTAAAAAGGGATGTTTATTAATTGAATTGTACGATACCGGCATCGGGTAGGTTACTTCTGCAATTATAATATAAACAATATATATACTTAATGTAAATTATTTAATAATAGCATGGATCCACAATATATACAACATGCTTGGAAAAGCTTTTCACAAGGTGACATGTCAATAACCAAGAAGCAAGATGGTACAGGTCTTGGCCTTTCGATTTGTAAAAGTCTTGTAGAAATTAATGGAGGAGAAATTAATGTAGAAAGTCAGTTGGGACACGGAAGTAAATTTCGGTTTACATGGAATTTCGAATGTTTATCAATTACATCCTCGTTATTAGAAACAAATGGTGATGATCAAATAGGCTATTCTATAAGGCATAAACGAATACTAATAATTCATCCAATTGAAAATGTGAGAAATGTAATGCTAAAATATCTTAAAAATGTCGAAAAAGTTGATGTATTTGATACTTTTGATAAAGGTATTAAGGAAGCAAAAAACTATGAAGAATTGCATAATAAGTTTGCTTATGATATAGTATTTGTTAGCCTTTATGAAAATAATGAAGTGGAGGCCTTGAAAGCTGTACTCGAGTTAAGAGGATTAGAAAGGAATAATAATAATTTAGCAATAATTTTTATAGTATTGCCGAATAATAAAGGAAATGAACTGACAAAAAAATTAATTGCAA